ATCCTTGGGCCCATGTGCTGCAGGTCTGAAGGACAGCGGGCCAAGTATCCCTGAGGAGGGGACAGGCAGCACTTGGTAGCTAGCCACTGGCCCCCACCTCCAAAATAGCAAAGACGAACATGCAGCTCGCTGCTGTGTGGATGGAACTCAGGGTAGCAAGCTGGGGGAATGTCAATCAGGGGGCAAGGGACACACACCAAGTATGGGTTATAAGGGAACAGAGGAAGAGGAAAGCAGGCGCTGAGAGTCACTGACAGCCGCAGAATGCTGGCGGCTGGCCGGGCGCCCTGGGTCCCTGGACACTAGCACAGGGAGGCAGGTGCCTAGGGGAGACTGATGGCCCCGGGGTGCCACAAACCCTCCCATCAGCAGTATTGTGAATGATGGAATGGACAAAGAAGTGGGAAAAATTGGGTAAAGTCCACCAGAGATCGTCTTCTCCAAGCTGCATCCAGGCTCTACTAATAGAGTCCAGGGGACACCTGGAGTCCAGGAGCTGGTGTCTGGGCGCCGGGAGCAGAGCACATGGCATATGAACCTGAGTGACGAGTCTCTGATTTTAATAATTCTGCTTTTACAGCATATATTGTGATTATATCTATGTACAAATAAATATTAGAAGTCAAAAGGCACTTAAAACAGGAATTTGATGAAAATTATGGCAATTAAATAGGTAATCCAAAAAAAAGCAATTAAAGCAGGAAAAAAGGACAGATAATTAAATATCTCCTTCATTTAAAGACATAAGCCCAGAGGTTTTTATAAGATTTACTCACTTGGTTAAAAAAAAAAAGGTACTTCTTATTACAAACTGATTACAGAGCAGAAAAAAGATAATGAAAAAGAAACATAATCTTAATATAAAAACCTAGCAAGAACAGGAAAAGAAATTCAAAGCCTTTTCTCGTCTCTGATAACCCCTGTAGAAATTCAGAAATCGCAAAGAGGAACAAAATAAAAGACAGTATTTCTTTCTTTGGAGTCAGCTAGTAGTTTATCTCAAGAATATAAGGGTCAGTCTGTATCAGAAATTTGAATCATAGAATACAATATCAGGTTAAGGGAAAAAAGATGATCTTAATCAATGCAAGATATAGTTCAATTTACTCATGATAAGCACTTAGTAAAATAAAAAAAAAAAAAGAAGGGAAATCTACTACTACCCAAATCAAATGCGTTGACCAAAAACACCAGACAGTGGTGAAATTGGAAGCATTTTCATTAAATATGAATATAAGCGAATCAATTCACTCTCCTAATTCCTATTTTACTCTGTATCAATAGCATGTCTGGTGAAACAAGACAATTTTTAAAAAGTAATAAAAAAGGAGCTCTCCACCCCCACCCCAGTTACTCCCGCTGGGAAGATGCTGAGAGCTGGGCTGACCCCAACAGCATTGCCTGGGGGGGGGGGCACGGAACAGTCTGTGCTCCCTAGCACACTATGATGAAGCTGTCTTGCTGCAGGCAATCTTGTAATTATCTGGTCTTTGCAGAAATCCAAAATCGTGTGGCCGCTTTTGTGGCCGCGCGATATTATATGATTCTCATACCAGCCATAGAAAGCAAAGTATTCCACAATGCCTTTTCAGCAATTCTGATTGTTGGGGGAAAATTCTAAACAATAATGGTGCACCTTTTGTCGAAATAATGAATGCAATCAATGTAGAGAAGAGTTAAGTAGAAATCATCTGCCTCACAGGCATTGGGAGGGGTGCAAGGGGGGGGTATATTGGGGTTCTTGGTGGTGATAAATGAGCACTGCTGAAGGGAAAGGTTTTTGATCATTGTATGACCGAGACTTAAACCTGAAAGCTTTGTAACTTTTCCCACAGTGATTCAATAAATAAATATAAGAAGAAAAAATAAATAAAACTGTGAAAAACAATGAAACAAAAAAAAAACCAAAATGCTGTTCAATTCCAAAATACTTTGTATTTATCCAAAGGAGTTGGAAACTTGTATCCACATAGGGATGCTTAGAGCACCTTTAGTCATACTTGCTAACAACTGGAAACACCCAGATGCTTTTCAAATGAACGGTTAAATAAACTGTGGTCTATTCAATCAATAAAATAGTATTATCTGATCACTTGATCACTTGACTTCCCATTAATCGTCGATTTGCTGGAGCAGGCTCCAGTAATGTCTCCATTTGTCCCCGTCGCATGCTAGTGTAGCCCAATGGTGTCTGTTCATTCTAGGAACACGAAGAGCCTCAAACCGATCGTTCATGATTATTTAGTGCTGATAAAAATGAGCTATAGGACATAGAAGAAGCCCCAAAACTTATTGAATGAAAGAAGTTACTCTGTCCACTCTCTATCTCATGATTCCAACTCTTTAAGATACAAAGTTAAAACTGGAAGAAGGTTAACCCTTTAACTGCTGGCATCACCAGTGGTTCCCAGGGGCTGGTGCCAGGAAGGATGAACAGGTAGGACTCAGAGGAAGTTTTGTTTGTTTGGGGGCCACACCTGGCAGTACTCAGGGCCACCTCCTGGCTCTGAGCTCAGGGATCACTCCTGGTGGGGCTCAGGGAACCACTTGAGGTATTGGAGATCAAACCAGCATTGGCTACATGAGGGCACCCTCCCCCTGTACTCTCTCTTCAACCCAGCACAGAGCAGAGGGATTACTCTGGGAATGATAATGGCAGGCACGAGTCATCTGTACTGTGTCTAAACCCACAGGCGGTACAAGATAAGAAAATCCCAAGCTACACTGTAGATTCTGAAGGGACAGCAGGGATTCCACCACGGGCTGATCAGTTAGAGCAAGCACAGCATCCTGGGGGATGTTGAAAGTGAAGGAGCCTTAGCTCTGTGGAGGCAGGGAAATCAATGAACTAGTTCAAGCTAAATCTCCCTAGTTTGCTGTGAATCAACACTGCTGATGGCAAGGAGGGTCTGGGGTGGGCAGTGATCTCATTTTCTGAAATGTGACAGTAGTGAGAATGGCACGGCAGGGTGAATATGCTAAAAACAACAGAATTTCACCTGTTGAAAGAGTGGCATTGGTTTGTGAATTGTATTTTAACATAAAAAACACATTCTGCAGTTTCATAATAATTGATTTGCTCGAGCTGGCCCAGTAACATCTCCATTGGAGACTTTGTTGTTACTGTGTCTGGCATATCGAATAATAGTACCGTAATTTTGTGCTACTAGTTGCTAGTGGTATAAGTGAGTGATTCCTTTCTGAGCAGGTTTCATGTTCCCGTTATAATAAAGGAATAACTAAAATTTTATTACATTTTATTATGGAAATTAAGTGACATGTTTATCTATATTTGAAAACCTAAAAGACTTCTAAGTAGACATCAAATATTCAGCAAATATTATTTTCCCAATAATATTACTGCTATTCAATTTCCCAAACTCTTGGCTCAGCTTTATTGAAAACATCTCTGCTTATTCCTTACGCTCTTCATTATAAACAGTTACAGTTTCCTAAAATCTGTTCATTGACAAAGGCTCTCTACTTTTATGAAAAGTCTGATGCTTTTCATAAATGGAAAGAAAACATTTTTAAAACTGAAAAGAAAACCATGGCATAGGGTTTTACATGGAACTACTAAATTTCAAAGTACCAAGGTTATGGCACCATCTAAATCACCTAGGAGGACCCTCAGCTACTAAGTGAATCTTGTGCTCGACTCTTGTAGGCAGACACAACGGTATCTCGGGGACATTTCCAGAGATGGAGGGTATCGTGGTCCTGAGGTGGTGTAGTCTACCTTAGGAAAACTATATGCACTGTAGCCCTGCCCTGTAGCACTGTCCTCCTGTTGTTCATCGATTTGCTCGAGCGGGCACCTGTAACGTCCCACAAAAAATTGTGAGACTTGTTGTTACTGCTTTTGGCATATTGAATACAGCACGGGTAGCTTGCCAGGCTTTGCCGTGCGGGCAGGATACTCTCGGTAGCTTGCCAGGCTCTCTGAGAGGGGCAGAGGAATCAAACCCGGGTCGGTCGCGTGCAAGGTAAATGCCCTACCCACTGTTCTACTGCTCCAGCCCAGGAAAACTAAATATACAAATAATTATTTATTAGCATAGAGCTTTGTTTTTCAAGCCTTACTTATTGGAATGCTTTGAAATGTCTTCTTTTAATTCTCACATATATAGCCTGTAACTGTTTCACTCTTTATTAAATACATTTCTGGAAACACTGACTACAATTACTAAAACTTCTTTGCATCCCACTACAACTAGGGTCATATTTATAAGTGTCTTTAGCTTGATCTTGACAGGAAACAAAAATACACACACCCTGAAATATTTTGGAAGGCAAAAAGAATCACAGAAGAAAATCAGACACGATATCAAGATATTTTGTGTCTGACAAAAACTACCTAACTACCAAAAAAGTATAGCTACATAATCTATTGCATTATCATACATGATATCAAATTTATTTACCACTGAAATAATTCTTTTGACAACCTAAGGCCTAACCTAATGAACAAATGAAGGCATGTAAGAACTCTCTATTACTTATTACTGAAATTCAATTTCATGGAATTAAGATGTTCTAATATTCAATATGCCAAACACAGTAACAAGAATATTAGAATATCTGAAATAAATGTAATAATATACCTGACAGATTATAAAGTCATGTGTTTAGAATGGAAATACTGAAAAATTTGAATGACATAGTTTTTAAAATGCTATATGATTAACCGATAGGTAGTAAGTGCACATTTTTATTCAATTGCATCAGTCTTTATCATTTTTCCTCTTTGCTTCTGTTATTCTCCTAGTTATGATATAAACAGATATGACTGCATAGAAAAACACAAAACTTGCTACTCAGAGGAATATGTCAAAAACAATCCTAACTATATAATCAAGCAGATGGAAGATTTTTCTGAAACACTTGGATGAATATCATCGTGTATTAATACATCGCTCTGTGAAGAGTGAAAGTGACGATACCATGAACATTACGGCTGAGGAGAGACCACAGGCCAGGCCAGCCCTGCTGACACTCACCAGGTCTGTCTTTGGAGGATCTGGACACTCGGTGGAGAAATAGGGGGTGGAGCTCCTGCCTGTACCCCCATCAGGGCCCGACCTGGGGGGCTGAGCGTGCTGCCGGTACGTAGCACTTTTGGGGGTCCAACAGAACAGGTTGATGGATTCTCGCACACAGCGCTCAATGTCAATCTCTAGGTAGAAAAAGATTCCAAAGAGAAAACTTAGATTTGTGGTTCAGGTCCAGGTCATCAACACAATCCTAGACGCACATACCCAACCATGGCAAGAGGACGATAAGGAAGAAAACAGGTGAGCAGAAAATAGCAGACATACAGGAGCAGGTCTACGAACGAAGCCTCGAGGAGTATTTTGTATGACTAAGTAGGCACACAGACACATACATTTGCACATGTAACCATTGCACATATTTTATATGCGTCACTTGGTATTATCTACACACCTAAATATATAGGCACAGCGCAATTTCTATTTTTTTAATCATATCATTGTTTAAATACCATGGAATGCAATATATCTCCTCACTTAAAAATCTGCCACATTTACTCAAATATTTTTACCTTTTCAAAGTTAAGCAGAGGCCCATGGGAGGGGAGGTCGGAATTTAAAGGTAGGCAGAAAAAAAAACCTTGATGTTAATTCACCATGACTTCTGGAAAAGAATACTAGATATTTTACTTCCATCTACTAAGGAAGGTATAAAAATGACAGTGAAAAAATCTGTTAAAATGTCAATTCAGCATGCCTCCTTTGTCTTACATATTGGTTAAGGGAAGTTCTGAAATGTGACCATCGCAGGCCAGAAGGTACAAGTAAAGGTACTCCTTGCTCTGGATCAGATGCGCTTTTCTGTTTTGTTTTGGGGTTTGCTTTTCTGGGACACCCCTGGCTGTGCTCACTCCTGGCAGAACTCCAGAAGCCTTCAGCAGTGCCAGGGACCAAACCCGGGTCAGCCCCACAAGGCAAATACCCTCCCCACTGTCCGGTGCCCCTGGCCCCAGGCTCCTGTGTTTTGAGGGGACTGTTTCCTCTTTGGGCCTTAGCAGATGTGAAGGTGAGTGAGGGCGTTGGTTGGAGAGGGGGAGGGGGAAGGGCAGGAGTGCAGCAGCTGACACAGGTGAGGGGGTTTGAGCACTCTCCGTCTCCCCTCTGTGTCCTGAACATGGGTAAATGGCAGATGGTCTTGGTCCCCCACCGAGGGTCCTGTGCTAACTCAGAGCAACGACGAAGAAAAGGTACAGATGCTGTCCACTGGGCTCAAGTTCCCTATTCCTCTCTGAAATGTGGGGTTTGCACATTTAGGCGCTGAGGTCAATTCTGTATTGGCTGAAAATCCCAGGTACGGAGGACCAGTGACTGTAAACTCCAGGCCTCAAGGGATGGGGGACGGGGCACTCCTTCCCTTCTCCCCACCCCTTCAGGGTCTGGATTGTCATATCCACAAACTGCCTCCTGGTGCCATTTAAGCGCATTAACAGCCATGATCCAGAGACTCACAAATGAATCTTGGAAGCGGGCAGCTCGCTGCAGAGATGTCTCCAGACCCCAATTATTTAAAATTTTAGCATTCTAGGAGCTCACAGCCGCAAAAGCACAACAGCTCATGCTATTCATAACAAGCAATACAAAATAAATTATCTAGCACCTGCCTGTGGGGAAGGCTTGAGTGGTGGTGGGAAAATTCGAAATAACGGTGGTGGGAAGGTTTGTAATGGTGGTGGGATTGGTGTTAAAATATTGGATGCAATCAATTATTGTGAACAACTTTATGAAAAAATAAAATTAAAAAAATTAATCCCAAAACACGTATCACTTGGCTGTCTTCCCAGCTAAAAGCAAAGACACGTGTTATCATCTGAGTTCTGTTTATTTGTTCAGTTTTAAAGTTTTTGCTTGTCCTGTTGTAGTTTATGTTTAAGGAGATAAAGAGAATGCCTATGATTCTGTTGAACAGAAAAAAAAAAGTCTGTATTGGTGCATGGCTCATGTATTGAAAGCAGAGGTTCCAATCTAATTTTAGCCTACTTCCCCCTTCTCAGCAACCCCTGGAAATTGGAGTTCTTAGTGTCCAAACACAGAGCAGACCTTCCACTGCACCTGGAGCTTCTGCCACCCGCTGGGCTTGTGTTAGCCCCTCTGGGACAGACCCATCGCCCTCTCTGGAAAACACAGAGTGCACTCTGCAAGGCGGGCAGCCCCGGGCATGGGGCACTGGGGTGGGTGATGGACATCCCAGCGAGCCCGGGTACCGCTCGGATCGATTCGTGCCCATGAGTTCTGTCGTCACTCCAATATCTGGTGAATGGGAGATGTAGGTGCAAGAAGCTGAGGGACCCATAACGCTAAGTGGGCTGTGATGAGCCGGATGCTTGAAGTCGCTGATGAGTCCCACGCATGACCCAATGCATTTAGATCCTGGGTCAGGCCAGCAGGTCTGGAAGAGCAGTTATGCAAGCACATACTCCTCTATCTGCTGTTAGGAATGTCTGCCAGTATCATGCTACTTCCATAGTACAGTGGTCTGATTTTATTACCTCATACACCATTCTTAGCAAAAATCTATAAAACATTAAAGTTTTGAGACATGGTTCTGTTTATTTGAGCAACAGCTAATACAGTGAAATGTGTATGTGTGTGTTTTAACCAAGCCCTGCAATAATATCAACTTTACAAGGAGAAAGACATGAAAACCAACTAGAAGAAAAAGCAAAGTTTAAGATGGACTCCCCCTCTACTTAAGATGGAAATGGATATACATAATTCATTAAAAAAAAAACCTCCCAATTAATACAGTTAAGATAAACAGTTGCAGTCAAGAATGGAGAAGCCCGTCATCTTAAAGGGTTTATCCCCTTAACACTGTTTAATCCCCACAGGAAAAGAATTTGGGGCCTTAGGTATTGCAACTGCACCACTCAAGCTGACCGGACGCGTGTCACCTGGAGGAAGCCTGATGTCACATCAGTGACCCAGATGCGAGGCTACAGTCCAGTTCTTTAGTTGCAGCAGTGGGAAAGGCATTCCTGTGCCTGCTGCACCCCAATGAGTCGCAGAAGGGGCTGCAGAGAGTCTGAGAACATGGAGGCACTGGCCCCGAGACACCCTGGTGATTAGCACTGGCACATGGCCCATTCTCCACTCACTGGGCCCCTGTCACCGCTTCATCTGAAATTCCTTCCAGCGCACTTCATCATGACCAAAATGTTATGCAAAATATTCAGCCAGCCGTGCGCTCAACTGTGCATCATTCTGAAGCAGCCTCCCTCTCACCGGAAGGCACTGCTCTTCTCTCCCCAGCACCTGACTCTGTGGCGGGGATGCTTTGGGAGGAAAGCACAGAACCTGGATTAAGGTTTCCTGAGTTTAATTCCAAACTGTGTGGGACTTAGTAACTCTGCGAGAAATGATTTTTCTCAGTCTCAGTTTCTTTATCCTTATCCATGACTACCGTATCTCAGAGATGCTGAACTAATTTCTAAAGGATACAGCCCAGCCCACTTTCCTCTAGACAGCATGAAGTGGGGGGGCCCAGAACCCATAGTTACTGGCTGTCTCCGTGGGGCAAGTAGGGAACAAAGAGCCATGAAGACAGAAATGACTCTGCACAGCCAAATGACAGTCACAAACAGGGCTTGCTGAAATGAGGAGGTGATATTTGTTATTTTGCTTTCAGGGTCACACCTGGCTGTGTTCGGGGATTACTCCTGGTCTTGTCCTCAGGGATCACCCCAGGTGGGGTCTGGGGGATCTTATGGGGTGCTGGGGATTGAACCTGGGTTGGCCGTGTCCAAGGCAAGTGCCCTCCCTCTACTGTGCTCCAGTCTCCAGAGAGAGGTGACATTCAAAGTCTTTAAACATGTTCAAGAAATCAGGTTTCTAGTTTTCTTCAAAGAGAAAAAATTAGGTTAGAGAAGAAACACCAGAATTTTACCCGGGGGGTTTCATTACCCTTCAGCACTGCCATTACTGTAGCTGAGAACAGCCTCAGGGGGAGGGGGGTCTTGGGGACTCGGACGCTGGTGCAGTGAGGTAACTGTGATACCAAAACCGAATGCCAATGCCGCTGGAAACACATGCTCTGAACTGGAGTACAGTCAACAGATAGATAAATCATGAGCTCCTAGGAAAGCCAGAACCGAACTTCTGAAGCTGCTAGACTAAATCATTTCAGACTACAAATAAGTGACGATTTGACCTACAACCTCTTTTATAAATAATATCCTGCACTGTACAGTAAAGTCGCCAGTGGTTGATGTCATCGTGAGGAATACACACCTCACTGTGTCTGCTACTCCAAGAGCAAACGGAGACAATGAGGAAAGTCCCCTAATTATCTGGGACTTCCCAGAGAACTGGAAGTGAAAGTGGCTTCGGTATGTGTCCTGCGGACTGGCCGACTGGCCCCACACCCATTTCCTCCTGCCTGGCCCACAAAGCATGGGCTCTTTCCCTCTATCACTACCCCGTGAGCACTGCTGCAATGCTGAGAGCTCAGAGCTCGAGGATGCTGGCTTTCTCTGAGCAGAGAAGGGCTGTTCTCTGGCCGAGGTTACACTAGGTTCTTGCCTCCCTGCAAGAATCTCCTGACAAACCCTCATGAAAATCCGCTGCTGTAGTTGTGATATTTCTATAAAATTTTGAAAAGCTTTAAAGCCCCGTGAACTCGAAAAGAGAGATGCAAAACTGTCAAAACCAGAGATCACCTACATTGCACACATTCTCTAAGTGCAGTCTAGCTTTTGAAACGGAGCTTACGATGGGAGGGCTGACACGCCTACATTTAGTTCCAAGTGTCACTGGCTCAAGCCAATGTGTCTGTTTGCTCAAGCTGCTGTATATTGATCAGAACTGAGCTAAAGTGAATGTGGACCCGTTGAATCAGGCGTAGTGTGCAGTCTGAGGGGCCATCAAGATGGGAGCTGCCGAGACATGTTGGCGTTTGGACCATGCAGCGCTAGCGCCCTGTGGGCATTGTGGGCATTCAGTGAAGAGCCTTGGCACATGGGCCCCATTCTTGGAGGGAGTTAACAGTGAAAAATGACTGCCTCCAAAACAAGGTAACCATGAACAGAAGAGCCCACTCAATATGGGCTGTGCAGAAGACAGGACTCGGGACTCCAAGGAAGAAAAGGTAGATTCTTACAGGGATCAGAGTTACTACATATAAACTAAA